ATATTGAATATAATTTTTATAGTGACCTGACCGGGGTTTGAACCCGAGACCCTTCGGTTAGAGGGCCGGTGCCATAACCACTGCACCAATGGTCAGGTCAGCTACGGTATACAGGGTTTATTTTTTCAGTTGCATGTTATTTCAGGGCTTATTTTTTCATCTGCATGTTATTTCAGGTTTCTACAGGCTTTTTATTTTCGATAGAGTTTACCTTTCTCAAATCCCTAAAGGACTTGTTTCAAAAATCTTATTCAACTAATAATGATTTTAAAAATTGGCAGTTGTGTGTCCAATTATAGGTCAAAGATATTTGTGAAGTTTTGGTGGAATTGCTTGACAGGTTCGAGTAGCTCCCATACAAGTCCAAAAGCTTAGTTTAAATATTTGAAAAAATAAAGAAGTTAGATTCATGAAACTTGGCAGTTTTGTGTCCAATTATAGATCAGATATACTTGCGAAGTTTTAGTGGAATTGCTTGACAGGTTCGGGTACTTGCCATACAATTCCAAAAGCTAATTTTAAATATTTGGAAAAATAATAAAGTCAAATTCATGAAACTTGGCAGTTGTGTGTCCAATTATAGATCAGATATATTTGCGAAGTTTTAGTGGAATTGCTTGGCAGGTTCGGGTACCTGCCATACAACTCCAAAAGCTAATTTTAAATATTTGGAAAAATAATAAAGACAGATTCATGAAACTTGGCAGTTGTGTGTCCAATTATAGGTCAAAGATATTTCTGAAGTTTTGGTGGAATTGGTTGACAGGTTCGAGTGGTTCCCATACAAGTCCAAAAGCTTATTTTAAATATTTGGGAAAGTAATAAAGTTAGATTCATGAAACTTGGCAGTTGTGTGTCCAATTATAGATCAGATATATTAGCGAAGTTTTGATAATAACTTTGTCTCTAATGAAGTTCACGTCTATTTTTCCTGTTAGGACATCATAGGTAAAGCAAGAAGACAACAAAGACCGGCGTGACTCCAGACTCAACATATTAAGGGATTGAAGTCTAATTTTATATGAAGGAATATTGTGGAAGTCATTGGGGTTATATTGGCTTCTCAAAGCAGATAATAAAAATTGTTTTTGAACCGACTCAATTTTATTTCTGTGTACAGAAAATCCCGGATCCCAAATAATACTGCCATATTCAAAAACAGAACGAACAAGGGCGCAATAGAGCGATTTAGTTACTTCAGTATTATTGAATTCTCCGGCTCTCCTCTTAATGAAACTTAGCAATTTGCTTGCTTTAGAAACAATAGAATCATAATGGAAATTGAAATTGAGTTTACTGTCCATAATAATACCTAGATCAGTAATATGGTCAACGCGTTCTAAAGTGGAGTTTTGAAGTGAATATTCTTGAAAGAGGTTTGAACGCTTACGTGAAAAACTAATAACATAACATTTTTTAACGTTAAGATCTAATTTATTAGTCTCGCACCAAGAATTTTGATGTTCTAACTTTAATTGGAGATAATTAGTGTCAGAAATATCTTTTACAATATGATACATTTTCAGATCATCAGCATAAATCAGATCCGGAACACCCGCCAAACATTAAGAGAGGTTAGAAATGAAGATATTGAAAAGAATAGGGCCTAAATGACTTCCTTGGGGAACTCCAGAGTAGACATGGATAGGTTTCGACTTAACACCCTGGAACTTGACAAATTGGGTCCTTTCAGTGAAGTAAGATTTTAACCATCCCAATAGTGGATTCCTAAAACCAAATTGTCTTAGCTTATGCTCTAAGATAATGTGATCAATGCGATCAAAAGCTTTACTGAAGTCTGTATGTATCGCATTCACTTGAAACCCTCTTTCCATAAACGAAAGAATATCGGATGTAAAAATTGAAAGGTTGGTGGTCGTAGAGCGACCAGCCCTAAAGCCGTGTTGCTCATTATTTAGTAATGGGTTAACAATGGGTGCAATTATACCCGTAACTAATTTCTCAAGTAATTTAGGAATTGTTATGGGCTAGGTATTAGCACGTAACATTATTTTTTTTCCATTTAAAAAATTAAATTACTTTTTATGGAAAAAAAATTTAACTTCAAGATCAAAGGAAATTTTTCATACATGCATATAAATTTTAATTTTACATAAATTACCCTATTCTAGGTAGCAATAGTGCAATTTAAAATTCCCATCCCTAATAATAATTTCAATAATACAACTTAAAACAGTGGTCAGATTTTATACCTCTTTTTCCATAAGAATTACTTTTTTTTTGTTTTAACAAAATAATTTTGTATGCATGCATGCATATAATACACCATGTTATTCATAAGCATACATATTCATAGCAAAAAAAAATGTGTACAGTCGTACATCGCATGATTTGCATGTTTACGCATAAGTATACATGTACCTTATTGGTATTTGTAATTTTTTTATTGTTCTTTTTCGTTCTATTCTCTTCTCATACGCATAATGCAAATTGTTGTTGTAGTTTTTTTTCATTTCAATTTGAAATATTCTAATTCTTTGCTAACCCTTATATGGTATATAGTACTATTCTAATGCGAATTATAAGTGTGTGCATGATTATGTTGGGTGTTATATAGGAACATATTGTATTGAATATTAGGTAGAATCCTGTTTAGGGTTAAATGATCTGATTTATTGTTGTTGGTTTATTGCTATTAGAAATTTTTTTTTCGGAATCGAAATTTCCAGTAAAATGTCATGCGATTCTACCGTTAGGAATTTTGGAGTTTTTATGTATGCATGAATAGTGGAATTTTTTTTTGTCTTTTCGCTTGATGTTGAATTAATTTGAAAAATAAGAAGTTAGTTAGGAAGAAGATAAGTTAAAAGGTGGACGGTTTTAGAAGAGAAAAAAAAAATTAATTTTTTTAATAGATGAAGTAAAATTTTAAATAGATGAAAAATATTTTTTTTACTAAATAATAAAATAAAATGAGATAGTTTTCCGGCCGTAAATATGAGAGCCGTAATATAAAAATTGTATTACTTAATATGTGTATGAACAAAAGAAAAAAAATTCATATTATTTTATTAAATTAAAGGAAAAAAAACACAAAAGAAAGCAATTACCCTGGTAAAAAAAAAAAAAAAATAATATAATATAATATAATAAAATAATATAATATTAAACACCTCACAAAAATATAAAAATCAAATTTAATCATACAGAGAAAAAAAAACCTATTTTTCACCATTTGGACAATTCACAAAAATTATAATTTATATAATTCACATTAATTGGAAATTATAGTAGAAAAAGAAAAAAAAAATAAATCCCTAAAAATGATAAAATAATAATTATGAAGGTAAAAATAAAACAAAACAAGATAAAAAAAAAACAATTCTTTTTTCTAACATTAACAAAAAAAAAAAAAAGTGAAAACCCAAAAATATTGATTAAATAAATAATGAATAACAATTCACATATTATATAGTTAAAATTATTAGTGTCTATCATAATTTCAACAAGAAAATCATAACAAGAAGAAAGGAAAACGTGTGTAGAAAATTTTGGAGAAAGGAGCAAGAGGAAAAAGGAAGGAAAAGGTACTAAAAGTACCTGGATGAAGAAAAAGGTACTAAAATAATTTTTTTTTAAATTAAGATTAAAACAAAAAAAAAAAACAAAAATGTAATAAAATAAATGTTGCATATAATATTGTAATTTATGTTACGCAGTTTGAAAATTATTGAAAATGCAAAAAGAAGAAAAGAAAAAAAATTTAATTCATTAATTGTACAGTCAATTCCTACATTTCACATAAATATAATTAGAAAGTAAGTAACCTCAATCAAATAAAAAGAAGGAAAAAAAAAAAGAAGAAAAAAAGGAAATTTTAGATACATATGTGTTATTATTATTATAAAATATTTTCTTTTTTTTCATATTTCTATTTATTTATTTTCTTATTATTAAATATAATTCTTAAGAATATTATAATCCTTATTAATAAATAACTTACGAAACATAATATGTAAAGGTTACTAGTTTGTTTTAGAGCATTTTATGTTATATTATTATTTCTATTAATTACATTGTAAAATTTTTTTTTCTTTCTTCGTATAATTTCTTTGGTATGCATATCAAAATAGATTTAAACTAAATTACTTTCCATTTTCATAATGAGCATAATTAGTATTAATTTTAAAATTAAATTTGCAAAATATATATATACAGAGAAAAAAAAATGGAAAGTAAATCAAATCTATTAATATATAAGTACTATTTTAATTGTATAAGCAAGCTATATTATATATTCAAGTAATCACAAGGAGAAACTAGAAAAGAAAAATGAATTGTAAATCATCTATATAACAGAAAAAAATAAAAGAAAATATATAATAAAATATGAAGAATTTAATAAAATATACTGAATGTAGAAGCGACAAAATTAAAAGTATCTAGAAAAAAAAAACCTAGGAAAAGGATAAAGAATTTTGTTTTTTTCTATCTCTTATTTTTTTCTCATTTCCACCAATTTCAGTATGTTTTTGTTTGGTTATTTCTATTAGTGGTCAAATTAGAATAATGATGATGGAGTAGTAATTCCCTTCTCCTTTAGGGTGTTCAAAATTTAGGGATTTTTCGAGCAAAGTTTGGGAGTCTCAACAACATCTGAGACTCATGGAAGGGTAGGGCTCGGGACAGTGCTGATTCGCCACCCTGTCACTATTTTGCAATCGCATTAATTTTTTTTATTTTTTTTTAACGTGTGCATAATTTTTTTTTCTGTTTATGCTACGTAGCCATTGGTGGTAACCGGCTACTTCTATTTAACCCACCCCAGGCTGAAGCTCCGGGATACAGCCAGATGCACACTGGAGTAGCTGGTGGCCGATGTCCCAACCATTGGCGGTGACAGGCTCTGCCAGGTCATCCCTCAAACATCAACTACACTAATTTCATAACAGAATGACAGATTGAATGGCAATTCCCCTATAGTTTTCAACCGCAGTCTTATCCCCCTTTTCATGAATAGGTATGAAGTGTGAAATTTTTCATATTGAAGGGAAAAAACCAGAGGATAATGACTTGTTAAAAATCAAAGTAAGCGGATATGATAAATTGTATCTACAGTTATGAAGAAGTATAGGCGGTATAAGGTCCGGTCCAGGTCCTTTATTGGTTTCTAAGTCACAAATACCCTGAAGCACGTTGTCAACTGAAAGATGAATATCTTTAAAAAGTGGATGACCATTATCTATACTAGTGGGCGTATAGACATAATTAGAAAAATAATCTAATCTATAAGTTTGTTGAAAATTATCAGCAAAAAAATTGCACATCTCAGAGTTAGAAGATGATATAAACCCGTTCTTGCTCATGGAGCTCGGATATCCCGACGATTTACGTTTGGAGTTAACAAAGTCAAAAAATCTTTTCGGGTTCCCCAAAATCGAGCTGCCTATATTTTGGATATAAATATCATATGCCTCATTGGATTTATTTTTGAATTCATTCGCCAACTCATTATATTCATTAATAAGTGAATTATTGTCCCTAGAATGTTTAATTTTATTGTGTAATTTATTTCTCCGATTACGTAATTATCTTAAATTACGATCTAACCATGGTTCCGCCAGTCTATCTTTTTTAAGGATTCTTGGAACATGGGCGTCAATTATTCTGAACAAAATAGAGTAAACATCGGAGACAATATTGTCTTAATTGTGCTGATGGAACATATCGTTCCAATTAATTAAGCTAAGGGCATAATTGATGCCGTTGTAGTCGGCGTTAAGAAAATCATATACAATCTCTTTATTGTAAGATTTAGAGAACTTAAGTTTGTTATTAGGAAATTCGAGAACAATTGCATTATGATGAATAGAATTTTTGAAAAGGTTCTCTTCGTCTGTAGCAATGCGGACCCGTATGCTGTCATAGGCATTTGAGAAAGCTAAGTCCAACCAATTACCTCTTTTATTTGGGTAACGTACCACCTGCTGCAAGTCGTTTCCATAGAACGTACTAACGAGATTAAAATCAATATCTTCCATGAAGTTGACTGGAAAAAGATGGTTACCATATTCATCGTTGATAAACGATAAAGCCGACCGATTAAAATCACCTTGAACAACTATCTCATCATCCTCATGCATTTGTGAAAATATTTCGTTACATATGGTAAAGAAATCGTTATAAGAGGATTCATCAGAATTAGGGGGAAAGTAAACTTCTCCCACATAGGTATAGATTCTACCTGAGTATATTTTGATAAATTGATGGTCGAATGTGGAAAAAACTGAAGTGGATACCAATTGGTTTGGTAACCGATTATTGACGGCGATCAAAACGCCCCCGCCCCTGGATTGACCGGTAGTTGTATAATCACGGTCTTTTCTGTATACAGACCAATTACTGTCAAGTATTTCCTCATTTTTGAAAGAATCGTTCAACCACGTTTCCGTAAGAGTTAAAATATTGAAATTGCAAGAATTAGCGTCAATAAAGAGATTTTTAAGCTTTCCTCTTAAACCACTGCAATTATGGTAAAATATGTTAGGGAAAACAGATGATTTGATGGGACGAATGGTCACAAGACTACTATGGGAGGCTTTAAGAGTGGGTCCGTCACTATTTAAACCATTTTGATGGTGATTTAGAGGATCCTGACGGAAGAAAAAACCTATCGTTTGATTCCCTCATTCTTTGTAAGTAATCAACCCATTTACTCTTCATGTGTTTCCGATAAGTCTGTAGGTCCTTCTCGACACTTGCAGGTTGCATATTTAAAGTTTCATGAAATCTTTTGTACAGTCTCAGGAGGAGAGTGTAATCAGAGGGGAGACCCTCGCTTTTTATGAAAACTTTTATGCTGAACTGAGTCTTGCCGTCATGATGCACTGTGTCCGCCGCGTCATATAAGTAAGCTAGGTAAAGATTAACGTTCTCATAGACAACCCTGACTCTAAAGTGAGACAAAATGTACGTACTGTCACCAGCCTCAACTGCCTTTTTCGTCATACGAACAACTGGTGGAACAAGTGGATCTATAAAAGATTGTGAAGGCAAGATGGGAATTTGAGTAGTTTGAGTAGTCGCCGCATTGGTTTCGCCACTTTTACAAGTTTGAGCTTTTACGGTCCCGTTGAATGTTTCGTCCTGGATGAAATTTCAATACTTGCTAATATTATTGTTATTGGTATTTTTATTCATATGATTGTCAGTATTATTGCTATTAATATTATTATTGCTGTCATTATTATTACTGTCATTATTATTAGTATTATTATTGCTTTTATTATTACTATTGTCATTAATAATAATACTATAATTGTTATTATTATTGTTCTTGTTGCTGGTATTGTTATTATTATCAATATTATTATTATTATTATTATTAATATTATTATTTTGGTTGTTATTATTATTATTAATATTATTATTATTATTATTATTATTATTATTATTATTATTATTATTATTATTATTATTATTATTATTATTATTATTATTATTATTATTATTATTATTATTATTATTATTATTATTATTATTATTATTATTATTATTATTATTATTATTATTATTTTTAATATCAATATCATTATTATTATCATTATTATTGTAATTATTATTATTATTATTACTATTATTATTGTTATTATTATTATTATTATTTTTATTATTATTATTATTCTTATTATTATTATTATTAATATTATAATTATTATTATTATTATTATTCCTTTTATTGCTGCCTTTATTTTTATTAATGTTGTCAATGTTGTTCCTATTTTATTTCTGTTATTGTTGTTTTTTAAATTAGAAGTGTTATGTTTTGTATTAATTTTGCTAGTATTGTTATTGTTAAAATTTGTGTCTCTAATGTTTTTCTTTTTTCTACTGTCAAGTCTATTTTTATTATTATTAATAAAGTTACTGTTAGTAGAATTAGTGTCGTGGTTAGGCAGTTTATTCTTAACTTTAATGTTAGTTTTATCGAAAAATTTTTCCAAAAGAGTACCTGCTTGCCAATGCATACGATTTAGAATTTTCCTTAGTTTAGACCTTGGTACACTGGCTTTAAAGGTGAGATATTTTGCCTTCTGCTTGAGAAACGCCGGTGTAATTTTCTTACAAACTACCTCTGTACATTTGAATTTGGTACGTAAGAAATCCTCCAGGCTATTTTCTGTGGTATCTAAAGATAATTTGGAGATCTAACAGTTAAAAATAGGCTGGGCAACGGTGGCAGGAGGTTTAGGGCCAGGCAGACCATTGGTGGTATGAGCAACGCTTAATGGTTCGCTTGGGTTGATATTAGATTGATTCATCGCTTCCTTCGATACCTCAAGCAATTCGGCATGTAGGGACTTGTCCATTGTTTTGGTAATTTTCTCATCATTGAATTTTATCAACTCGTCAAATTGAGAGCTAAGTTCCCTTATCATGCCACCGAGGTTTGCGAGACTGTCGATTTTGTTATTGATCAAAGCGATGTCATCCTGGGCAGAGCTAGTAAGTTATAAGAAGTTTCGTCAATACGATTGACACGTGTATCCAGAGCCGATAACATTTTATCCATATTTTCGGCAACAATTAGCCCAACCCCGTCAATCTTGTTCTCAAGAATTGATGAGTTGAGATCCGGTGTTTGCTTTTGGACTTGACTTCTAACAATCACCTTTATTTCTTCCATGAATGTTGACATCGATTTATTCAACATTTCAAAATTACTCTCCATCTCGTTGAAGCTGACTGCGTTGTTTTTTACGCAGTCCACATTCCTGGCTATTGAACCTTGGAAGTTATTATTTACTGCATCGATCTTATGTTCCGAGCAGAACGATTTGTTGACTGAGCAACAATCCGTGCAGATGAAATGGTTCGCCAAAAATGCACTATACAAATCACGTGGAGCTCTTACGCATATATCATGAAAGGAATTTCTACAAAATCCCTTGCATGACACTACTTCCATGCCTTTAATACCTTGGCAACCAGCTGCAGAACATTTGGAATCCATTCTTCGTAATTTATGAGTTTAGAATTAATACAACTGACGAAAATTGCCGGTGCGTACTGTATATTTTTTTTTATTTTGTTTTATTATTTTGTTTTATTATTTTGTTTTTATTTATTTGATATTTTTTATTTTATTATTATTTCTTTCTTTAATTGCGAAAGAAAAGAAAGTGTAAAGTGAATAATTTTTTTTTTATATTTTTAAAAAAAAAATTTTTTAATATTGTTATTGTCACAAGGTTATAAAGTTAATTGGGTCAAAGTAAAAAATTATTAAATTAAATAAAATTAAAATAATGATTCGAGTTGTAAAACTGCGGATAACTTTTACGTCTGACCACGTTGAGAACAGAAAACAATTATATTACAATGATCAAATTTTAACGGATCCTTCGTTACTTGATCAAGTTTATCTGTTTGTAGAGGAAAAAAAATGTAACATGGCTTTCCCAATTGAGTTGTTGTTTTTACATTCCAAATATGATGATTAATATTTTGTGGTAACGATTGCTATACAAACTCAATTTCAATGTATCAGTTAAATTGCACTTTGGTCAGTTGAATTTTCGGCTTCACATTAGCATCAGAGCAAAGTAAACATAAACGACTACAATTGTATGTATTACATTTTTGATACTTCTTATTATTATATGAAATTTTATTACCTAAATATTTCACAACTTCAATTGGTGGTTGTAAATTTCCAAAACTTTCAAAATAGTGAATATTATTTAAATTTTTGTGATATGCTACCCAATGTGTGCCTTGATCTGTGGAATTATCTAAATTTATAATACCACATTCACGTTTCCATGGTTTAGTTTTAAAGAGATTTTCCCTTATAAAAACACCACGGAAATTTCGTAAATACTTTCGACCAAAATCGTTTGTATCAATATTTGTCAGTGCTCTTTTGGATAGCAAATTTAGTGGTTTCTTGGAGTTAAATATAATCCAAACCCTTTTTTATATGGTTTTAATTGTAAACCTTTTGTGACCCTTCCTTATGGTGACGCTCACTTTCATTTAACATCTTCTTTGCGTTTTTAGCATCGTTGAAAGCTTTTGCTATACCAGCAACACCTTCTGTAAGAGCTCCAACAGCTGAAAGACTCGCGAATATCGGAATTAATGGTAGAATATCACCAGTTTTTGGAACTGGAATTATACACGGAATTTTTACCGATTTCCTATTTTTAGCTGCTTTAAGCGTTTGAAACTTTTTCTTTTTCAGGTTTATAACCTTTAATAGCAATTTTAGCTTCATGCATTAATTTTCTTAAAGGTTTTTTCCTCTTCTTTTTTACCCCATTTCTGCAACCCATTCCAGTTTTAACTTTTGCCTTCATTGCGTTTGTTACCAACCAGACGTTAGCTCGCTCACCAAAACTTGAATCTTTTACCCATCGCTCACCAAAACTTGATTTAACTCTCTGCCAGGCTTTTTCTGCTAATATATTATCAATAATATGACGATCAGCAATAGTGTTTCTTCGAGAATATGCAACATCATGCTCTTTACAGGCTTCGTCTAATTGATTAATACCTTTATCGTCACGATCTAACTGCTTTTTTAATTTTGTTCCAGGACCGCAATAGTT